GGGCTCGGAACCGCATGGGCTTCATAACGGTCATTTCAAGGCTGGGATTTATTCCCCCATGGTGGCCCAATGCGACGCTCTCTTCCGCCACATACCCTTGACAACTGGGTTTGTCCCTGACAACTGGTGGTATCTGATGAATTTTGCCATTGAAAAGAAGCCAGGCGACTTTCGGCTGACGAAAATGCGTACGATTCAGCTCATGAATTCTGAATCCCAAGCGAACTACAAGAAACTGGGCCGCCTGGCCATGGCATACGGCGAAGAACATCACCTCTTGGCCGATGGACAGTGCGGGTCTAGAAAGCACCATCAAGCGATCGACCTTGCCCTTTCTAAACGTCTTGTGTGGGACCTTCTGATTCTTCAGCGCCGCTCTGCGGGGTGGATTTCAAATGACGCAAAGTCGTGTTTTGATCGGGTTGTCCATTGGGTTGCGGTGTTAGCTATGATGCGCCTGGCGATTACTTGGAATGCGTTGCGCATGATGTTTGACACTCTCGCAACATCCACGCACGGAGTGCGGACAGGCTTTGATGACTCTGAAGAGAGCTTTCATCCCCCTTCCATGGTACCATTTCAGGGTTGCGGCCAGGGCAACGGAGCGGGCCCGCCCATTTGGGTCTTCGTTAGCTCCGTCATCATCCAGATGATGACCGCGATGGGCTTCGGCTTCGAATGTCTCACCGCGATTGATTCTCAACTGATCACCGCCCAGTGCTTCTGCTTCGTCAACGACACGGATGTGATCGAAGCGGGCAAGTCTGTGGAACAATCTGGCGAGGATATATGCCACTCCGTCCAACAAGCGGCTTCCACGTGGGCTGGAGGCATTAGCATTATTTTGGGAAGTACGTGGTCTGTCCTCCATACGTATAGTTTTGTAGTCTGAAAGAACCTGATAGTCACAAGTTTTCCTTGTCTATATTTCGTCCAGTAATTGATCTGTTTTGGCTGACTAGCAGCGCATTTTAACGGTTTATCAGACCCAAAAGCTCTTTGTTGCGAGCTAAAGCTTGAGAAGGCTTTTTGAAATAATATCTGGTCTCCAAAGTTTGTGGTTGACCGGCAAAGGTTGGATCGCCCATTGCCAAAGGATCCGTGGTTTTCACGTCGCTACATTTCAGTCTCGAGCGTTGACTGAAGACGGCCACTTGTTACCGTTTAAACCGTTTGGTTGCGAGTAATTT